CAGCCTGTTTTGCTCGCCACTCTGTTTCTGGTGAAACCTCTCACTACTCCTGCACCACTGACCTGTACCCCAGTTCTATATTCATAAACAAATAAATCTGAAAAAAAAAAAAAATGGCACAGACCCAGAAGGACCAGCATAACAGTGGCCTTTCCTGCACACTTAGGTAGACACTTGAAGGGACAGAATGAAAGCTGAGTGTTTGTCTTCATTGAGGTTTGTGAGTCCTCTGGACTGTAGCTTGAGCCCTGCTGTCTCCAAATTTCAGACTCGCTCCAGGGCTGCCAGTATGACTACCCCTGAGTAGCCCTGAGTACTGCGAAAGCCTCCTGGCCTTTAACATTTTCTTTATGATGTTCGTACCAGGGACTTAAAATTTGTCTTAAGAACAGTTGTTCTCCAGGGAAATGTCTTTCCAACATTTTCATATTGATGCGGATCCTCACTCAGAAACAACCCACAGTGCCTTAGCTGGAGAACCAGCGCACGGGTGGAAAAAAGTTCACAGCTGCTTAACAGGATGCGTCCATTCTAGGGTATTTGGTTTTCTTTTTTTGAAAAATGCTGGTCATAACCATTGATTTCTTTTTGTGACCCACTGGTGAGTGTGGATCATACTTTGCAAACCCTGCTCCAGGCGCTCCATCCTCCTGTGGTGAGGGCAGCATGTGGTAACTGCTCACTTCCCTCAGGCTCCAAACACATCTGGGTGTCCTGGGAGAATTCTGCTCTAATTTTGCGAGAATCTTGCTTTCCCGTTTAGATGGTCAATTTTAAACAATCCTAAGTAGCTAAGCTTGTTTAAATCCTTTTCTTCTTTCTTCTTAAAATAACTGGCCTATAAATACACCTCTTTTCTCTCCTTGCCTGAAGAAACATTTCTATGTGGTGACTGCTGCCAACAGATTAAGGAAGTTTCCGGCATGTTTCTAACCTTCAGCTACGCTGCTTCCGGGGACCCGACAAGTACTGAGACCGGTGGTGAAGTGATGATTCAAAATTTTCAATAATCTGTGTCTTTGCTAATATTGAATCCATTGTATGAAATGTGATTCTTGCCTTCCTTCAGGATGAAAGTGACCCAGAAACTTTTGTTCCATACGATTACTAAATTTGAAATGTTCTATTTACTTTTCAGCTATTTCTACTTTTGGTGACAAATGAAGGCACGATTTAGGAAGATAGCAAAGCTTCTACTTTGCATATGTCAAATTTAAATGCTGACCCTTCCCCGACACGGTGCATGTTACTCAGTAGAATTCTCTGAAGAATTCCTAGAATTTTGGTTTGAGCAAGTGTGAGCCAATGTTTAGTGCCCGACCCTGCCTCATCTGAAGTGCTGTGGATTTAGGGCCATGTTCCTAGAGTGTTTTAATTTGTGCTACTTTTTGAAAAACTAAACACACATCCTTTAATATTTTTGAGATCTCAAAATAGACCAACTGTTTTGGCCAAATCAGAACCGTTATTTTGAATATGCTTTTAAAATCTGCACCCTCTCCCTCTGCTGACATGGGCATCTTGCTCCTGCCCTCCCTTCCTGGGATGTCAGTCCAAGATCTCGGAAGTCGGGCAAGTGAAATGCAGTATGTGAAAGAAGTATAAAAATGTACTGATGATCATGGATGGAGCTGGGAGGGCTCAGGCTTAGTGAAATAAGCCAGAAAGAAAGGGGAAAATACCGGATGGTTTCACTCATAGTAGGAGCATAAAGGACCAGGGTGGGGAAAATAATAATGAACAACTATATGCCAGAGACATTTTAGGGGGGTGGAGTGGGAAATAGAATCAAAAGTGGGGAGGGGGGGAGTGCATGGGACTATGGTGATGGCACACGGGTGATTTTGGTGATGGGAAGCCCACAGGGATTACAACTGAGATGGAAAAAGGGCACAGAATGATGTAAAAATAAACCATTAAAATTTT